GGTGTTAAGGAGGCGAATCTTTTTTTTTTTGCAGTACACATAAGCAATAGCCAATCAGAACATAAGAAGCCCGAATATGACGTTAGATATAACCATCAATAATTAATAGGGACACTAAGGGCAAAACGAAAGATTTCGCATGTTAGTAATTAGGGTGGACAAAGAGAGCACGGGATTTACAATTCATCGGTTGTGTTATTAATTAAGAGCACTGGCTTAACTATTTATAGGGTGGGTTATCAAAAGCAGCGAGTTACCTTACTAGCTATAGGGTGTGTTATTTACAGCAATAGTTACTATAGGCATGGAGGAAATATATTAAGATATATTAATATATTTATATATTTCCTCCATGCTATAGGCTGCTACCAGAAGGTTGTTTTACACTGTGTACGCCGTTTACAACTATCATATAGTTGGCCTAATTATTATAGGCTTGATTTATTATGTGGTACTCTATAGGCCTATTAGTATGTTGGCCCAGGGAACAGTGAACTGTTTCCAGGTAGGCCTATAATATAGTAATTGAATTTTCTTGCAAAGTGCTCTTTCGAAAAATTATCATCGAATATTTTGAGCTCTTTGGTAAAGAAAATAGGCTATAATGTTTGCCAAAAAAAAAAAAAGAAAAAAAAGAACAGGACCCTGGGTTTTCGAGTTGGTTAGCCATTAGAAAAAAGGTTATTGAATGTAAGTATTAATTGATTATAAAGGCGGGTGGCGCACGAGAAGATTTAACAACCTTATATTGGGCCAGACTAATAATAATCGACAGAACAGAGAGGGAAGAGGGAAGATTAAAGGACCAACTCCTAGTTTTAAAGCCTCGCTTATTTAATGATGAGGGCAGAGAGAGAAACTGCCGATGCTCCCCAAAATAAAATAAAAAAGAAGATCAATCACATATGCTCATAATGCACTGTACTTGTACCACTATTCACACACCAACTAGATATCCGGGTACACCTTGTTTCCTGCTGATAACGCACAAGCAAAATATCCAGAAATCCGGCTACACTAGCTGATCAGCACATCAAGTGATTTATCTTGCTTTACAAAAGTGAATTTCATTATTAGGTAGAGAAAAGAAAAAAAGGAAAATGTTTCGTTTAACGACAGTCGGAATAATTATTGGACTTATATCAGGTTTGTCTTTATTACTTTTATTTTATCAAGCAAATAATGTGGCAACTAAGACAATTATTCAAAAGTTTCACCATATATAGAAAGCGGTTTGGTGCAGCGTTTTCCATTCAAGTTCTGAACCTCTTGTTCGTTAGTTCGGACCACACGCTGACAATTCTCGGCCAATCATGCTTAGAAACCAGGGGCCAGATTTATCAAACTAGAAATCAGCTTAAATTCGTCTTAAGTCCATTTTTTTTTTTTTTGCTCAAGTCAAATTTATCCATATTGTTAGCTTAAAAATTGCTTAAAGTTATAAAGTCGATTGTACGTTGGCGCCATCTAAGGGCAATTTTTAAGCCAAGAATTTTCTAAGATTGGGTAATAAATCAGTTTAAGATATTTATTAGGGACGTCTTAACTTTTTTAACTTAAGACATTTGCTAAGCTGAGATTGATAAATCCCGGGCCAGGGCTTGCACTCTTCACGGGCTGTGATGGTTTCTTATGTTTCAACCCTACAATATGCTAGTATTTCATGGTAAATTCAACAAAATGTTAGTGGCAGAGTTAAAAATTCTGGATTACGAGATGTCGAGAGGCGGATAATTAAAATGTGGAAAAGTACATTTAAACTACTTGAGTTTCATATTAGTGCCACTTAGTTACCAACCGTCTCGCATCATGCGGGACCGTCCCGCATTTCAAAGGTGATTTTGGATGAAACACGCATTATGCAGAAAAACACATGCGCATTTAACACAAGTCTATGCGTGATAACGATTTATCACAAATTCAGGGGAAAATGTAATTAAAATTAGAAGAAATTTGTTGTATTAAAACTATAAAAACGGTGATGCAGTAACTTGAGTCATGAGAGAGTACAGCAGGCCCGTATCCAGGTGGTTTTTATGGTTCGGGAGAACCCCCCTTTTCTAGCAAACCCCCTCTTTTCTGGCGGAACCCCCTCTTTAAATTTCCCAAATAAGTCCTCCAACCCAACTAATGCGCTGCAGACCCACCCAGACACAGACATTTTCAAACATATCTGCTTTTATAGCATTATTTAGACCCATAAAGCCCAAAAATCCTCTTGCTTTGGGGGTTTCGCCGACCCCACCGGGGCTTCGACTGTGGACCTCACGCCCAGAAAACCCCCACCTTGGAAGAACCTGGCTACGGGCCTGAGTACAGTATTTCCTTGAAGGCCTTACTTATTTCACTAACTAGTTACTAAAAATTAATCAGTAATGAAATGTTTGTGTAGGTTTATAGTTCGGGTGCTCAAATTAAACATAGCAGGCCTACATTGAAACTCAAATTGATTGATCGAGTTCCTATAGTCCACATTTCAAGCGCCCTGGATGGATATGTGCGCTATATAAAACTACACTATTATTATTATTATTATTATTATTATTATTATTATTATTATTAAATTGGCTTTATTAATAATATTTTGCTTATGTACCTATTATCAACAAACACTCCCTGAAATCGTTTTAAAACAGCTTAAAAATGCTCAGATCGTCGGAGCGGCGGGAGGGGGTGTTCCCCTGCCACTTGGACCCCCTCCCCCCACCCCAGCCAACTGGTATAGTCACTCAAGCATTTCAAATCTCTCAGATTGGTAACTATGGTGCCATTCTAGAGATATCATAGCAGTTTGTAACCTACCTCTACATTCTGGACCCTCCATCTGGACCCTAGCTATTTAAAATTCCTGGAACCCCAAATGTCAATACCTCTAGTTTATATTTAGAAGAATTACAATTTACAACCTTTGGACTTAGCGTACGACCCTCGATTATGCTACATACAGTAGGAAAAAATTACGAGTTAACACTACCCACTCCTACAATAAGTTCTTTGAGCGAGATCGTTGATAAGTCTTGTGCTTAGTAGGCCTAAACCTAAATGATAATAGGCGAAATTCAAATGATGTGTCATCTGAAGTGGTTATTAACTCAAAGAAGTTAATTTGACTTCGAATAAAATTTTCAACAATAGTTATTTTTCAATTATTCGAAGTTAAACACTTTTTACTAAATGATCATTTTACTTTTCCCATAAAGATGTTAATGCTGTTTGCCTACGACCAGAAGAGCACACTCACACGGAAACGTTTATAAATGACCGTTATTCTTTTCGGTATAACTTGGACGAGGAGTTTCCAGAGGGAACTACCTTGGTGAGTCGATGTCAAGATATCGGCCGCTATCGGTTTGACGGCAGTACAGTAAGGAAATGTACGAAAGGAAGCTGGAGCGCGCCACCACCCAAATGCAGTAAGTTTGCACTATTTTTCATGCTGTTCTAATATCATTTGAAAGAGGCAAATTCAAATTTCGAAAATCCGAAACAAAAAAAATGTTCTAGATGCAGTTTTCTGCACTGTGATTAATTTGGGTGGGATCGGGGCTCCTCTCACGGAAAAGGGTTTTGTTTTCTAGATGCTCGGAAGTTTAGTTTCATATTATTCAGAGAGGGGTCTGTAAGGTTTCTTATCCACCTCATCCCTTGTTGGCGCCGCACCTGCAATCACGGTTCAGGTACAGATGCTGCTTAGGGATTAGAGGAGTCAGTTTCCTTTCCGGACAAAAGTTCTTGTCGTGTCACAACTACTGTACGCATACAGTGCAAGAAAGGCCATGACACATATTATTTCCCACTTCACTGATGACTCTGTGTACATCTGTCACCCACGTCACCTCTAATTTAATTGCCATCACCTGTTTAAAATAAAACGACTTGTTTCAGCATGGAGATGATGTATATTATATAAGCGCTGGTTCTTAATAGGCGGCTCGCGTGCCAAATTACCACGAGAGGTACCGTACTTTAAATTATAAAAAAAAGAATAAAATTAACAATCATTTTCAATAAATTGAAAACCAAAACGCAATACTGGGCCATTTTGAAGTATGAGTTTACCCACTCCGACCTAGAATTAAATCTGTTACCAACCAATCGACAAACCTCCAAGATTGGTATGAATAATTGCATTTCATTTGCCAGCACTTTTAAACAGTTGATTAAACCAGTTAAAAGGCGGCGGTACGAAATTTGTTGGAAATCGATCAACACTGGTCACTGCAAAATGATCCATATAAACATACTATATGACAAATATTCCTTCAGTATAATGTACATAAAACTTTCCTTTTTCTGGTCACCCAAATGAATAGAAATTTAAATAGAATTTGTAAGAATTACGGGTTTCAGAAATCCATTAAATACGGACTCAAAATGCTACTTTGTCGGAGCTACCCGGCGCCTGGCCCTAAACAACCGGAGAGCTAAAGGCTTGCTACGCTCGCAAGCGCATCCGCACCCCCCGCCAACGAAAAAGTTTCCTTTGGGCCTGCAAACGACGTAATGGATAAAACTATGCTTTATTTTTATAATTCATAATGTAAAGCCTGCTTATTATTAGGCCTATCCAACTATTCGAGTACTGTTTTGAATGCGGCATTTTATCTTTCATCATGCAGCTTAAAATACTTAACACCGTCAGTTCCCAACAATCTATGCTTTTGCGTGTATTGAAATTAAGTGGTGCCAGTTAGTTGCGGTTGCAAGACCCCCGTCAGAGAGAGCTCCCACGACGGAGAACTCGCACAATTCGTCAGGGAAAAAACAATCATATGTTTAACTTTTACAGAATATGAGGTTGTAAGATCGATTACGCGGGCGTTAAACATTCAATATCTCAAATTGTCAGAGATTTCGAAGGCTTCGGCCTCTGGACACACACCCTTTCCAACAGAGATTCTACGACATCGCCCCTCCCCTGTCCGGTCTGCCGCCGGGCAAATCTTAACTACACCACTTTTGGTGTGTGATGATTTTACACAAGCAAAAAATAAGATCATCAATTAGCAGAAATAGTGAAAAGTGTTTTCTACTTTTGGCAAAAAAATATTAAATCTTATGGTTGCAATATTGTTGTTATTATTAACCTTCTTTATTTATCAGCTCAATCAGAAGCTCAACTCATCATACAGACATATGCTAAGTTTGAAGAGTCAAATAACGGCAGTTTCATCATAGTCGTCCCCGAAGATAAACGAAAAAAACTGATGATATCTTGCCGAGTGGGAGAGCCAGAGCTCATCATAGAGCTGTACAATAAGACGGCTAAGGTTCCATCGAATACGAAACATTTCAGAGCAACGAAAACAATCGTAATAAACAAACCAAATCCATCATATTCCGGCCTGTACAAATGTAATGACGCGCTGAATGATCGAGAGCCACAAATGGAAGTCGAAATCATTATTTTAGAAACTGGTATGTTTGTTTCAACGACAACGACGACGACGATAACGGCGGCGGTGACAGCAACGACGACGAAGACAATAATAATAATAATAATAATAATAATAATAATAATAACAATTGTAATCATCATCACATATCGTAATCGTCAACATCATCGCTATTTTTATTAATAATAATAATAATAATAATATTAATCTATACTACGATTATTACATTTTTACAGTATTACTGTTAATACTTTTTTTAATTATTGGTAATATTTAATAGTTTCTAATGTCACTTGTATATTGATTATTTCAACAACAAAAACAACTATAAGTATTATAATTTTTGTAATTATTATCAGTATCGTTGTCAACAGCATTATCATCATCAATATCGTCATTATTATTATTATATTAATACTATTATTATTATTAATACCAATAATACTATATATTCATAATTATTTCGTTTTCATGACTAGTATTATTGCTAATTATTTTCTGAATTATGACTAATAATTATTTTCTAACCAATGTAACTAGCTAAATGTTTCATTTTCTATTAACTACAATTATGCTTACCACCGCTAAAAAGGATATCCTTCATAAATCCCGCAATTCATAAAAAAAAAATTAATAAATAAAATTTAAAAAAAAAACCTCTTTGACATTTGTTTATAAAATAAAATAATATAGCTTTTTGATATGTATGGATTAAAGCAAACGTGTTTTGTAAATGTATTTTTTTGTTTTTGGCAACACCAAAACCTTTAACAGGTTTTGAAAATAAATCAGAGGCTTTAGGAAAGTCAATAAATATTAGAACTCTAATTTTGTTTATGCCGTATATTTTTTGATTTATAAGGCTAATGTTGGTATTGTCGAATCAAGGACTTATAACAGTTATTAGTCCTTGGTCTGATCTGATGTTGATGTAAGCCTATTTGAATTTTGCACACATTTATATTTATATGTTTTTTATCTGATCTTTAGTTTGAATTCTTTTATAATTGTAAAGTGGGTTTTTAACTGGACCGTTAATCTGTGGATTTGTTGTTACTTGTTTGTGTTGGGCATATTTTTTTGTAGCACCGATGTGTGAGGTACCTCAAGCGCCAAAGAATGGCAAAAGAAGTCGTCCTGGAATGGATGAAGTCACTATGACCAGTGAGATTGTGTATTCCTGTGACGATGGGTTTAGCCTAGAGGGTGCACAATTTACAAAGTGTACCTCTTCAGGATTATTTAATTCTGATCCTCCAACATGTGTCGGTAATTCATTACAATGTGTAGGCCTATATATTTTACTTCGAGGTTTATACCAATATTATAGGCCCCTATACCAATTATTTTGCATACATTTTAACCAGTCCTAAATGATATACTAAGCTACCAACTACACGGTGGGAATGAATTAGAATAATTATGTTCTATGAATTTATTAACATCTATATTTAAAATTTGATATTTGTTTTTAGTATGGTTTGATACGTAATCCTGCTGGATTGTTGTGCCAAAATGGATTTTATTGTCTTATTTTTATCATTTTGGTACACTGAATTCGAAAATGTTAGGTGTCATTTCTATTAGATGGTTGGCTTACCACATCAAACATCCAGTGATACCTCACACGACCGTGCTATTATACCTATACCAAATAATGCATATTTACAGAGATATAGACCAATATAAAAATGTTACATGACCACAAAAGACCGAAAGGTCAAAAATCAAAATCGCCAAACATGTTCATGGTTTATATCGTTGGAAAGCCATCGCAATGCTCAACAATGTTTTACAGTTCACACATCAGAAACTAAGTACAGTAGTTTTACATAATTGTCCAGTAAATGTCAAATTAGGGCATGTAGGCTAATTTTCTGCTGGACAAGACGGCCACTTAGTTGGGTTTCCCATTTTTGCAGTTTTTCCTGCTCCTTCAGAACTTTTAAAAGTTAGGCTATAGTAAATACTTTTTTGTGGACTATGAAACCATTGTGTTTGGTGTATAAATTAAACATAGTTGTTTGGCTGATTGATTGTTTATATTTCTGGGTATAAGTGGGCCTACATCTGCTACACGTTCATTTTAACATGCCCTAATTGGACACTATATGGAAAACTACAAAGTTTCTGATATTTGTGTACTCCTAAAAATTATTCAGCATTGGGAGCATTCCAACGATACCAAACACGAGTGTGTTATTTGTTGACCTTTTGTGGTTATGACTTTTTTTATTGGTCTATATCTCTGTAAATATGCATTATTTAATATAGTTAATTACCTTTCTGATGACTTCAAACAAAAGTGTTATTGGATATTTGATGTGTTACGTCAGCCATGTTGAAATTCTAAATTGAGGCTGATGACATGGATAAAATATTGCACCTACATTTTTTGTTGTTCATTTAGTACACCCAATATGATAAAATAAGCCAATAAAATCCATTTCGGCATAAAACTTGGCGGGAGCCAAAAGTCTGTCATAGCAACCATACTATTGTTTACTTTTTTGTTGATTTTATTGAATAAAATAAATTTAATATAAATAAGAAAGTTTGTTATATTTTCTTCAACGTAGCAAACTTATGTAAACCGCCGCCACCAAACACCCTTATGAATGGACAGATATTAGGTGCCGAGTATTACGTTGGTGATACTCTTGGATTTCTCTGCGATGACGGCTTTAATATTGACGGTAAATCACTTTTCTCTGTGGAATGCAGACCATCACTTATGTGGTCCGACGAATTTCCTGAAGGATGTTTACCAAGTAAGAATACTATTATATGTTTTTATTTTGACAAAACCTGACAATCATATTATACACCATTACGGTGAGGTTTGTATTTCATCTTCTCAAAGATGAGGTCGGGGGCTCAATCTCCCGCTGTACATTTCGTGTGTCCCCTTTGGGACAAAGCACTTCACCTACAATTGTTTCTCTCTACCCAGGAGTACAAGTGGGTACCAGATATGTTGAAACGCTATATGTTGCACTATATGCAAGTCTGACATAGTATTATGTCCCCATTTTTCAATGCTCGTATTCATCACGTCAATGCTCAAGCGTAAATCTATAATGTATGAAATAAATGACCTAGTTTACAATAATAGAGTAATGCACATCCATTATCTTCTATTTTTGTTGTGAAAGTATTCATGAAATGCGGCTTTTAATTTGTATTTTCAATTATTACTCTAATGATTGTTTTGATGTTTTCAAATTTTATGATGTAATTTTATAATAGTTTGATGGATTAATTTGTAAATACCTGTAATTAAGATTAGCTGTGAAGAAAGAAACGGAATATCAATGAAAAAAAAACTTGAAATTATCCAATCTAAATTTAAATCTCCTTTTCCATCAGATCCAACCAGTCCTCCTGTAACTACTGCAAAATAATATGTCGATCAGACCAACCTGTCAAATGTTGACGGATCGTCATGTAATTACATCATTATAATTGTTTTATTATATGCACGTTAAAATATATATTTTTATACTGACTAATCTAGTATTTTAAGACCATTCAAGTTTATTTTATATTAAGTTTATTTATGTGTATATTCAACCTTGGAAAAGAATTTCATGTAAACGTTTAAAGAGAAACTTAAACTTGATCTATTCTAGTCTAATACTCTTACACATAAGTTTCTGAGAATTGTCCATCGTTATGGTTGCTTCCTCACATGGACGGCGATGACATCACTTCGAACGATTTAATTTAACTAGGAAAAAAAATGAAATTGCATTTAAAATTTCTAAAAATAACATTAAATATTAAATACGCAAAAAACCCCGTTTAAACTAACAAATCAATCTGAAACTTCAGCTGGGAAATCATAGTAAATTATATTGAAATCGAGGTGCAACCTACAAACTTTTGTAAAGAATTGTAAACAGGGAGAATTATGATGTGGGCGGAGGTTTACACTCTGCTATAATTTTTGTAGTGTAGTTTTTGCCGTAGTTGTTGTTGTTGTTGGTGGTGGTGGTGGTGCTGTTGTTGCTATTATTGTTGTTGTTATTATTATCATATTGACAATTTATATTTTTTATCCACAGATTCTGAAAGCAACTTTGTCTTCTAGCAATGTAATGTCTTCTTTTGTTTCATTTTTGTAAACATTTCTTCATATTCTTATTCGTTTGCATACATTTTAACATTCATCCAATTCTTTAAAATTGCAAATATAGTAATAAAAATAGAAGTATGACTATATTCACTGTCAATTAACAAAGCTAATTCTCACTTTGTATGACGTACCGTAATATAAATAACAAAATGTTTGCTTTTTTTTAACTACTGTAGACTTTGCCATTTTTGGAAAGTAACCAAAATGTTCGAGAATTTAAAAACAATCTGATAAAACAATTAATGACTAGTGAAAAAAAAACCGTAGACACTAATAATGATACATTAAATCGAAACTAATACTTTCCTTAAACAACACGATTTTGTAAAATTTCTCGGCAATTGAAGGAGATTTACCAATTTACCAATTCACACAGGTGAACCAAATATTTATAAGCTGATGGGGTTGTGAGGTTCTTTTTCAATTACAACCACGCTCTACTGACACAAATTGCAACTAAGTTTCACTAAAGAAACTAATTTAATACTTTAATTATTTGTTGATTTTGCATTTTAAAATAACTGAAATACCACAAACAACATAAGCAGGAAAGATGGCTGTTATACGGATTAAAAAGTGGGAACTTTCTGTGTTTAGCAAGCTTAACAGCAATAATTAGTTAGAGAACCAAATGTTATATTATCATCATTGTGTGGTATTGTAATAGTAATATTAGTACAGTAATCACATAAATACAGTGAAATAAAACCGTTATACCGCAGGCGATCCAAACATAGCCAGGTTAGGCCTTTTAGCAAACTGAATGATAAGATGGACGTTTTTATATTTTTAGAAAGTAATTTGTAAACATTTCTGCATGTTATTGTCAATCGTTTTCAATTAAATATATATCAAAATATTGTTATTCTCATTGTTGCTTTCACTTGTGTCCTTGCACAATCGCTAAAATTATTATGAAATTCAGTGTTGTGCGCCAAGCCCTGCAGCTAAACTTTTCAATAAACTGGGGCATTAACATATTGAGAGAGGCCAAGTACCAGAAGGGCCTACACTTATATTAGTTCCACTAAGGTTAAAGGCCTGTTTATACTTCAACGATAACGTTAACGATAAAAAAGCTAAAAAGCTATTGTTCATATAGAAAATGAAAGAAATAAGAGAAGTTTCTACACTAGAACGATTCGATAACGATTTATCAGTCATGCGATAAAACATATTTTGACAAATCAAATCAGATGACGTCATAATCATGGAAAAACATTAAAATCGTAGTAGTAGCAACGATTTTATCGTTTTTCCATAATTAAGACGTCATCTGATTTGATTTGTTAAAATATTTTGTTATCGTATACACGATAAATCTTTATCGAATCGTCCTAGTGTAAAAACTTCTCTTATTTCTTTTGTTTTCTATATTAACAATCGCTTTTTAGCTTTTTTATCGTTATCGTTATCGCTGAAGTATAAACAGGCCTTAAAGCTTCGGTGAAAGAAAAAAAAAGACTCGTTTTTCAAAGTGTCTTAATTTCAAAGTAAGACGGTCAATTTAAATACATCCATATTTTCAATTGCTTTTGTACAATATAGATACAAATTAGTCATCGACGAATTTTAGGTGATACGCAGGATCCAATGGTTTTCCTCAGCGAGAAAATTTGAAATGCCCAAAATGGCCTGAAAAGTGTTTTAAATTGGTCAAAAAGTGATCTTGAATTTAAAAATAAACGCACAGGTCATGACGCTCGCGCGCAGAAGGTAATTGCACGTCTGATTAACCAAAATGATCTATAAAATCATATCTACAACTCATGTGCTTCCAGAATATGTAATAAAAATTGGGGATCACCTTCATCCTAAGGAGCTATAACTGATTAAATATAGGCATGATTTTAGGCATATTTAAATTTTGACGTACGCGCACGCTATGACGCACGCACAGAAAATTAAAATACATGACATTTAAACTTGACCTGAAGTTTATGCCCACTGAATAGAAAAACATTTATTTGACAATGATGACGTCATCAAAATGTAAAAAAAGTCATACTGTAATATGAAAGAGAATTGTCTCAGCTATAACATACTGTACTCAAAGTTGGGAGATA